CGGCGGGGCCGCCGGCCACCCCGGCCCTGCGGCACCCGCCGCACTCACCCCGCAACGCAGCGAACGGCGACAGGAAAGCCCTCCGGCGGGACTGGCGCCGTCCGGGCGGTCGCTACGGCCGTTACCCAGGGCTGCTCGCGGCTCCGCACTCCTGGCCGCGTCGTCCGGCCTCGGCCGCTCCGCTGAGTAACAGGGACGCGGGCCGTCACCGCGCACGCCCGCCCACGTCATCGCGCAGGGCCCCGCCCCCGCGCCTCGGAAACGGTCCGAGGGGCGGAGCAGCCCCGGGGCCCGGATTGCGGGGGCGGGGTCGGCAGTCCGGGGGCGGGGCTCCTCTAGGGGCAGGGAGGACTTGCGGAGGTCTCCTGGAGGCGGAGCTGCGGGGAGGGCTTCTGAGAGCCAAGTGTGAGGGGCGTGTCGGGGAGCCGGTGGGGCGGGGCCCTGCTCCTGGCACGTGGCGGCGTGTGGCCAGAACTCCCAGCTTCTGGCCAGGGGCGTTCCACTAGTGGGAGCCAAAGCGTCAGGGGCTCCTCGCCTCAGCGTTTGAAAGTGAGGGAGCAGCCACCCCGGTCTGAGCACACACCCGACAGACAAAATGCTCCTTACCTTGACCGACAACACATTACATTCTGAGGACACCTGTCCAGAGCCCAGCAACCTACAGTAATTGTTCTTTTCAGCCACCTGGAAAAAGCTGCCTCCTGTTTTCCCCAAATCCACTGTGCCAGATTCAATGTATTACCTTATTTATCTCTGAGCCCCACAAAGCGTGTGTTTGTTATAACAGTGACAAATTGGCAAGCCCTTACATACCCAACAATGGATTTCTAAATTACATACATCCATGCAATAGAACATATCTTAGCAATTTAAATGCCATGTGTTCAAGGAATTCTTAACAATGCAGGAAAATGCTGACAATATATCATTAAGAGAAAGAAGCAGATCTGTATATAATGATCCTACCTATATGTTATGTATACATGGAAAAAACCTGAAAAGAAATTTGCCAAATTATTTTAACAGTAGTTCATCATTGCCCTCTGGAATGAAAGGTGAATTGGTTTTCTTTTATACTTGGGAATTTTTTTCCATGGTTTCCAAATGAAACAATTATGTTCATAATCAGAAAAAAGTACATTACTTTAATAATGAATACATAAATATTTGTTGAATAAATGAGTGAATTCAAGTCACTATCTTCCCATGTCCTGTTGGGCTGGCCTGTTCCCAGTGATTCTGAAATGAAATATATATGTGAGCAATCATTCATACATTCTCTCCCCATTGTTGATTGTTTCTTTTGCTGTGCAAAGCTTTTTAGTTTGATGTAGTCCCATTTGTTTATTTTTGATTTTGTTGCTTGTACTTTTAAGTGTCACCAAAAAAAATTATTACTAAGACCTGTGTCAAGGAGCTTTATTCCTATGTTTTCTCCTAAGTGTTTCATGGGTTTCAGGTCTTTCATTTAAGTCTTCAATCCATTTTGAGTTAATTTTTGTGAGTGATGTAAGGTACAGGCCCAGTTTTTTTCTTCTACATGTGAATATACAATTGTCCCAGCATCTTTTATTGAAAAGCCTATCTTTTATCCATTGAATATTCTTGGTTCCCTTGTCAAATATTAGCCGAGTGTATACATCTGGGTTTATTTCTGGGCTCTCAATTCTGTTCCATTGGCTGATTTGTCCATTTTTATGCCAGTACCATACTGTTTTGATGACTATAGCTTTATAGTATAGCTTGAAACAAGGTAGTGTGATGCCTCCTGCTTTGTTCTTCTTTCTCGGGATTTCTTTGGCTGTTCAGGGTCTTTTGTAATTCCATATAAATGGAATGGGAAAAAAATACTTCCAAACCATATAAGGGGTTAATATCTAAAATATTTAAAAAGAACTCAGATAACTCAATAACAAAAAACCAAGGGGCACCTGGGTGGCTCAGTCGTTAAGCGTCTGCCTTTGGCTCAGGTCATGATCCCAGGGTCCTGGGATTGAGCCCCACATCAGGCTCCCTGCTCAGCGGGAAGCCTGCTTCCCCTCTCACACTTCCCTTGCTTGTGTTCCCTCTCTCGCTGTCTCTCTCTCTGTCAAATAAATAAATAAAATCTTTAAAAAAAACCCCAAATAACCCAATTAAAAAATGGACAAAGGATCTCAATAGACATTTCTCCAGAGAAGGTATATGAAAGTCCAATAGGTACATGAAAAGATGCTCAACATCACTAGTCATTTGGGAAATGCAAATTTAAACCACGATATTACCTCACACCTGTTAGAATGGCCATCATCCCAAAGACAAAAGAGAACAAATGCCTGCAAGAATGTAGAGAAAAGGGAGTCATTGTGCACTGTCAGTGGGATTGTGAATTGGTACAGCCACTATGAAAAGCAGTATGGAGGATCCACCCCCCCCAAATTAAAAATAGACCCACTATATGATCCAGTCTTTCTACTTCTGGAAGTACATCCAAAGAGAATGAAAACACTAACTTGAAAAGATATCTGGACTCCCATGTTCATTATTTACAATAGCCAAGACATGGAAACAACCTAAGTGTCCATCGATAGATGAATGGATAAGGAAGTTGTGGCATAAATATGTACAATGGAATATTATTCAGTCATGAAAAAGGAGGAATCCTGTTATTTGCAACAACACGGATGGACCTCGAAGGCAAATGTTAAGTGAAATCAGTGAGACAGAGAAAGACAAATACTATGTGATCTCACTTATATGTGGAATCTATAAACAGCAACAACAGCAAAACCAAACTCATAGAAAAAGAGATCAGATTTGTGGTTGGCAGAGAGTTGGGGAAGGGGGGATTGGTGAAAGTCAAAAGGTATAAATTTCCAGTTGTAAGATAAACAAGTACTAGGGGTGTCATGTACAACATGATGTCTAGAGCTAACATTGATGTAGGATATATGGGAAAGCTGTTGAGAGAGTAAATCCGAAGAGTTCTCATCACAAGGAAAAAAATGTTTTCCTTCTTTTCTTTTTATTGTATCTATATGAGAAAATGGATGTACGCTGAAACTATTGTGGTAATCATTTCACAACATATGTAAATCAAACCGTATACTGTATGCCTGAAATTTATACAGTGAAGTATACCAATTATTTCTCAATAAACCCAGGGGGAAAAAAAGAGATGAGTCATTGACAGAGTGATAACATGAAGTCTTGGGTATGGAAGAGTTAGCCCAGGCCCATGCCACAACCGGCAGAAAGCAAGAAAAGAAGGCCAGGAGCCAGGCCTGCAGAACTTCAGGACAGAACTCCTGTGAGTTTCATGTCCATTTCTGTGATGCTGTTAACAGCCTTTCTTTCATTCAACAAGGAGTGCTTCTTTTTTTTTTTTTTTTTTTTAAAGATTTTTTATTTATTTATTTGACAGAGAAAGACACAGCGAGAGAGGGAACACAAACAGGGAGTGGGAGAGGGAGAAGCAGACCCCCCGCCGAGCAGGGAGCCCGACGCGGGACTCGATCCAGGGACTCCAGGATCATGACCTGAGCCGAAGGCAGTCGCCCAACCAACTGAGCCACCCAGGCGCCCAACAAGGAGTGCTTCTAAGTTAGCATCAGCCTACCAGGGTCAACTTCCAATTATCTATATCTGCAAAGGATATCCTGCATGTTTATATATGTATATGTTCATCTGTGTGACTTCAGAAAGCATTTCACTGCTTGTGATTGAATGTCATCATCTCTGATATTCTGCAAATTCAGAATGCTTTTTGTGTCCAGATGTGGCTCTGGGCCTCCTTCCTTCTCATGGTATTGTTCTTTGTTAACCTCTTATGCTCTCTTGTTAACCTATTGGGGGCTAACTTAGAAAATGAGGAAGAGCTAAGGAATTCAGGCTTTTTGACTTTTGTCCCAGGGGAGTTGTCTTGGGGACATCTGGTTCTTGGCTCTCTCTGAGGCTGGGATGGGGGAAGAAAAGGAGGGGAGGCTATAGGCCCCTTAAATCCAGTCTCTGCTGAAGCCCTGAGGGATAGTCAAGAAAAGGTCACACTCTGTCCAGAGTACCTCTTCCCTTGTCATTCTCCCTAGACACACACATACACTAGACTGTGTTAGAGTTGGGCCTTTGGCTAATGTGTAAGGTGGATCTCACAAAGCTGTTCAAGGGTATAGAAACCAAAAGTTGAAACTTTATATCACTTCCTAGTTCCCTGATTTCAATTCAGGGGTGGGGAATCAGGGAGAGGAAATTTACTGATTAAGGTCTGTGGAAGGGCACCCAAAGACAGGGCTCGATCCCAAACCCCTAAGATCATGACCTGAGCCCAAATCAAGAGTCCGATGCTCAACCAACCAAGCCACCCAGGCAGCCCCCGGTCTGGTTTTCTAACCATGCTCCTGGTCACGTCTACTTCCCCTGTAAGAGGAGGAGGTTTAGCGCCCTGGTCAGTCACCCCTGTCTCTGGGATGTTCTTTAAGGCTCTTTCAAGGTAGATCCTGCTGGCTCCAGAGGGGCGAGTTTAGGCCCTGGCTGTGTGAGAGGAAAGATGAGTGTTCATCTGGCAAACTGATATCTGCAACTTTGAGAACTATGGCTTATGTCCTCAGGAGTAAAACAGGACCACAAATGAACAGAGCTCCTCAGCCACAACTCAAACAAAACACAGTGGAGATAGAAATGGTCAGTTCTCTGATTTGAACTTACAAAAGTCTCCCCCTTCACTTGGGCTTCCCTTTTCCCTTCACCCCCATATGAGCACATGGTTCCCAGGTGCACACAAGAGACAACCCAGCTATTCAAACCTATAGATCAAGTATACACACATGTTCTCATAGAAAAAATGGTGAGCATTTATTCCTCTAAGATGCTGGTTCTCAAATTATGGTCTCCAGCCAGCAACATCAGTGTCACCTGGAGGTTCGTTGGAAATGCAGATTCTCAGACTCAAGCTGAATTAGAAGCTTTAAGGGAGGGCCCATTTGTGTTTTTCTGGTTTTTTTTTTTTTAAGATTTTATTTCTTTATTTGACAGAGAGAGACACAGCGAGAGAGGGAACATAAGCAGGGGGAGTGGGAGAGGGAGAAGCAGGCTTCCCGCTGAGCAGGGAGCCCGATGCGGGGCTCGATCCCAGGACCCCGGACCAGGGACCTGAGCCGAAGGCAGACGCTTAATGACTAAGCCACCCAGGCGCCCCCATCTGTGTTTTAATGAGCCTTCCAAGTGTTTCTGGTGCCCACCCAAGTTTGAGAAGCT